ATCATTGCCCAACTGTTGTACAACTGTGTCTACTGCACAAAAATACATGCAACTAGAAATATGTTTGAGAAATAATGCTTTAAAAAATTATTTTCACCTTAAATTTCTCTGTATTGACACAGATCCAGATTACCATTTAAATCCCAAGGTAAATAACACTTGTACATACACTTTATATTGCTATCAAAAACCTATCCATAGGCTCTAACTACTTTAAAAAGAATCTGTTAGTCACATAAGATTGTTAGTTTATTTTTTTTTTGCAATTATGCCAAAATAAATACATATTTTAAAACCAGAAAGAAAATACAGAGAAAATTCTTAAGATAGAATTATTAATGTTCACAATGACAGTAATTGATGCTGTGTATTTAAACTGGTACACTCTAATGGAAAAAACAGATCAGGTGGAGCTCAGATGATTCTGGTATAAGTCTTAATCTGATTTGTCAGGGCAGATAGAAGGAGTATGATTTGGAAGATCAATATATAATAATAATTATTATTATTAGGTTAATAATACAGCTCAGCAGCTGTGTTGAGACAAATTAAGTGGCTACATAGTTTGAAAGTCAGAGTGTTAAGTTAGGTTTATGATAAAAGCAGTGTACGCTGGTAGAACGAGAGAGGGTAATATGAAGTCAAGTTAGAGCTATGAGGTATTGGTGGTTGTTCAAGCAGGAAGCATATCGTCTTCTAAGAGCTTCAGTAGCAGGAATTAGGGATTCCATTCTCAGGAAAAATGGTAGATTATAATGTCATAATAGGCCTAGAACTAAGGCATTAAGGCATTCACTTGTCTTGTTGCCGTTCATTTGCTAAGTCATGTCTGACTCTTTGTGACCGTCTCGGGCTCATTATAATCATTTTCTGGGTACAGGATGGATCCTATATAAGACACTGTCCTAGTTTTCTTTTGCTGAATAAGAAATTAGTACAAATGTAGTGGCTTAAAACAACACCCCTTTAGTAGCTCACAGTTCTGTAGGTTGGGATACTGCCATGGAGTGGCTTGGTTCTCTGTTCAAGGTCTTAAAGTTCTGAAATCAGCATTTAAATACTTGTAAGATAATTCTAACATCTAACTCATCCTGATTTGTCATCATTTGTCATTTCTTATTCAAGTTGTTATGTGTCAAGTTGTTATGGTGAGTAGTGATATTTTATTATTTTTTGGACATTTTGGCTATTATGTTAGGATACTTTGGTCCCTATTTAAAGTTTTGTTTTGCTTTATCATTTTATCAGGCCTTTCATTTTTATAGGTTTGGCACATAGTGCCAAATTTCGTGGACCATGCTTCCATGACAATCTAATTTTCAGAACCTTCATGGTACCTTTTGTGTTGTGCAGGTGGAGCTACTTCTGCCCTACTTCTACTTACTTCCATAAGTAGCTGATGCAGCCTCCTCATGCTGCCTCTGGGGTCAGAAGCAGCTTCCCCAGGACTAGGCCACTTGGTGCTACTGGTGGGGGAAGGGGATCTCTGGACCACTTGATGAGGACGACTTCCTGTGCCAGGCACTTGTGACAGGCTCTCCCTGGATTGTATGGAATGAAGGGCACTTACCAGGTTGAAGACTTTCTGTGGAGGTACCAGCAAGTCGCCTAATGTCTCTGGATAGGGGAGAGGAGTCTCAGGCCCTTCTGAGGAGGAGAGCGTTTTCCAAGTGTGAGCTTATTGGTGGCATCACTTTTTCTGGCTAAGGAGCCACTGCTGTGTATGGCTGGTGAAGGGGAATCTCGGGTCAAGTGGGGAGAAAATCACTTTATCTGGGGATTTATTGTCAGCAGGGATTTCAATTGTTCCTTCTTTTAGGTTCTTCAGTGCTCATTTGGTATTTGTGGGATTCCTATTTGATGTGATGGTTTGAGCCACTTCCTGTTACTAAGTTGAGAGGGAATGCTGGGTTTGGGTCACATTTCTTCTTGGTAGAGGTCATAAGGTGCCCCACCATGAAGTTGCTCAGTCATTCTAAGGGTCCCTATCCAATTCACCTTCTTCTTTAGACCTTTCAGAGCTCATATTTTGTCGTCTTATACTGTTTCCAGGATATATAGCTGGGTTTATAAAAGGGGAGCAGGGAAAGAGGAGCATAAACCATCTTATATGGATTAGAAGTCCTCTCTGTGCCTTTCAAGTGGTCACCTGATTGGGACAAGCTCACTCTGGATAATTTCCCAATCAACTGTGCTGTTTATCAGAATCTAACAATGGGAACAATATTCCATCACATTTACAGGTCTCATACTCAAGGAGAGGGGCTACTACAAGGATCATTAGGTGTCATCATAGAATTCTGTCAACCACAGAAGGTGTATGTGAATGTACTGAAGCATTAATTAAGCAGTTATCATCCTTTGGAAGACTGGAAGCTGTTAGGATAGTATGAAAACCAAGTACTGTTACAATTATTCTACTCATAGTAGATGAAGTACACCTGGTATCAGAAATGCTTGATAAAAATCAGAATATTCAAACAAATTTCAGTTTAGTTAATGTCAGTTTCAGAGGTTTCACCTAAGTCTTCATTCATGGCCATGCAGATATCTTCTGTGTGAAAAATATGCTAGCTGAAAAGTGAATTTAAAAACTTCACCACCATTCCCCATTTATATTTTGTAGTTATGTGCAAATACTGTGGCTACCAGCAAGTCACATAGGAAATAAAGGTCAGTGATGTTTCTGACTTTAAATTTTCAGAGCAGATTTATACTTAACACTTACCTGCATTTGAACAGGTTGCACATTGTACAAAGTCATGATTGTTGCCACAGGTTGTAATACAATGTACTCTCACCAGGATGGAAAATGTTAAGGAAAATTTTTTGTACTGGCCAATAGGGTCTTTTGCAATAGTTGGTTCTTCCCATCAGGTAGCCAAAGTATTGGAGCTTCAGCTTCAGCATCAGTCCTTCAGGTTAGATTTGGCTAATGTGGACTACTGACAAAAGATTAGAAGTCAGGAGGAAAGAAGGTAAGGGTATTCATTTCTGTGATGCACCCTCTCCAAAACTTTGGATTGGCAGTGGCTGCCATTTTCTCAGCTTATAGCTCTTGCTGGGTGGACTTCTACTACACCTCTTAAGACATTTGGGGTTGCAGGAACTATCATCTCTCTATGCCCCTTCAAACCTAGGGGTTCTAATACTGGCTTCTCAGATGCTAGCCTCTGGGTACTTCATCATCTCTTGGTCTCTCTTCATTATTTTCACATTTTAGTCTCCTCATTAAATGATACTCCATCACTCTTTTAAAGTGTGCCACCAGCTTTTGGTTGGATTCTGACTAATACATTGGTAGTGGGGAATTGGAGAAACGTTAAGGTGGTATTGGGGAGGGTGGGATAAACTGCTGGAGAAGGGATAAATGGAAGAGATAAACTGGATAAGGGATAAACTGGAAGAGAAGGGTTTCAAAGCTTTTTATGGCATTCTATGAATATAACATGACTTTTTTATGTGAATGACTCTAATGCAGTCTTAAATTGCTTCTTAATTATTTAGTGGGTTCTTGTTTCTTTGCATGAACAACCAGGATTGAACATGGCCAAGAGATATCTGGGATTTATATGACTAGAAGATACTACTAGGATCTATCTGGATTGATTATATCATATTAGAACATTTCTCTCATGGCATCAGGAATATCCCAACCCAGTGCACATACTACATTTCTATTGAAATTCAATGCACTGCTATGGTGTGTAAGTCATTTTTATTGTCAGATAGGATAACACTGTTTGACTTTTTAATATTTCCTTTTATTATGAAACAGAAATTGGGGAAAGCCCAATAATTTCTTCAGGAACAAGTAATTCAGTTCCGATTGTTACATATAGATTCAGATTGTTATACTTCCACATAAATAACTCTAAAAGTGGACATAAGGCAGATGACTTTTTTAAAAATCATTATAACACTTTATATATCCGAGAATTCAGATCTCACATAGAATTATCTGCCTCAGGTTGGATCCACTACTGGCCCACGACAAACAGGGCAATTTGAATGTTCTGCCAGCCATCGATCAATGCAGGCGTAATGGTATTCATGGGAACATGGAAGGATGCGTAGCATGTTGCCTGCGGTGTATTCTGTGATGCAAATGCTACACACTTCATGTGAATCATTCTCTGCAAGATATCTTAAAGGCAAGTTGTCAATCTGTGTTGTTGTAAGGCCTGTAGTTTGGTGTGGGTCTGCTTCAGTTAGTAAAATAACCTCATCCAGGCTAAGGGAGGACCCAGAGTCACTATCATCAATTATGATTGGGGTCATTCGTCCCCCTTCTTGCCCAGCCTCTGATAAGCCTGTTGATAAGCTTCTTTCTTCACTCTCTACCAAGATCAGAGAGCTAGTTTCTGAATCTTCATCATTTGAGCTGGAAATGAATATGGGACTGGATGCAGAGCTATAAATCGAATAGGGGCTTGAGTCTGAGATCACTATTAAACTTGAATCAGGATCATATCTAGCATTTGAAGCAGAACCAGGGCGACTCTCACTACCACTGGGTCCATGTCTTTCATTTGGTGACTCTGCCCTTTCTATGTTTTCACTTGGAGGTGAGACACTACGCTCTAAGTTACTGTCACTGTCCATAAGATTACTTGAGTAACTAAATCCTATCATTGTCTGCCATGATATACTTGGAACTGAAACAGATGTTATATTTAAAATTCTATGAATGGGATTTCCGATGGTATTGACAGAAGCACTCTCACTGGCCTCGTCAGAATATGAAAGCACAGGCTGAAGTACTTCCTCACTTTCTGAAGTGGTAGTGATGTTCGGAGAGTCAGATGTTAACTGAGCTCTACTAACTCTGCTGTCTATCAGAGAACATGCTGGACAATGAACTCGTTCTACTTCGAGAATGAAGGGTGTGGTTAGATTTGTTTCTATCACTTCCCAAGATTCACTACTGCACCTTGTATCTGAATCACATTCTTGATGAGCAGCATTCCTAGTTTTAGAAGTTTCAATAAGACCCATACTTTGTAACTCATGTCCAGGCATTTCCTGTCTCAATGTTTCTTCATGCCCAGTTCTAGAAGATCTCTCATTCTCACATATGAGAGGTTCTTTAAGAGTCTGAGATGGTATATCTTCATTAATACTTGGAAAAAATTCCCACCGTGAATGTGGAGGTGACCAACTGTCAGTCCTTGCTCTGGTGCTCCGATAGACTGGGCTCCTCCTTCTTAGTCTTCTCTGACTTCTAGTCGGTGGGACTTCCACTAATGTTTCCATTGTATCTTGTTCTGATGCAGATGGTGTTGTAAATAGTGGCTCAGATTGTGGGGTTTCCACTTGTTGGCTGCCTTCCGTATCTTCTCTCCTGGGAAGTTTTGCAGATGCTACACATTCATCCTCTGGATTTGAGTTTTCATCATCACGGTCAAGATTTCTTTCTAAGCCAAATCTGAGCTCATCACTATTAGCACTATTTTGGCTCTCTTCTTTCCAAGACAGATATTCTTTTTGCTCACTTGTCACATTTTCAGTTTGTCCAGAAGCGGTAAGGCAGTCTATTAGAGAGTCATCACTGGATACATCATCTGTAGCATGTCTCTCTGTTAATTAAAAAAGGGGGGGAGGGGCCATAAAAGAACTACCAAAATTGGAGCCATCGTAAAGTAGCACTCTGACACTTGCTTTAAAAAGCAAACAAAAATGAGAACTTAAACACTCAGATGTTTCCAACTGATTTCACATTTACAGAGTTGATACTTTAAAAGCTTTTTTATCTAGATTTATAAGTAAAGGCAGGGAAGTTTCAATTTCATCTGAAAAAGAGTACACTAATCCTAGATAAATTCAGAGGGTATCTGAAGGAAGTCTGTTTTTCAATATTTGGTCATATACACAGCCCTGTATACCACTGTGGGAGGCATGTCAGGAGACATTTTTTTTCAGTCCACTGTCAAAACACCAAAGCAATTCTACAAGGTAAACACCAGTTAACATACAGTGCTAGTATTTTAATTCCATTGATATTATTGTCTATTTCTCATTAGTCTCCAACATCACTACTCCTAGGCTCTTATATGCTTTTGATAATGTATAAGTTGTTTTACAATATAAGATTATTGCCCAAATATAAACAAAGGTTATAGGTTTAAAAGTATATGAATTTTGAATACTTCTTAATATTACCAAGGTTTTTAATTGGCATTAAGCTGAAAGTCAGATCAAATGAATAGACTGAACCTAGCATGGCACATATAAGACCATATTCAAGAACCAAAGTGATAGTATCCTCTTCATTAGATAGTAAAATCCTCTATTTCACACTGGGAGAGAAGGCACCAGATCTGAGGTTCCAGCAGGGTTTCTCAGCCTTAGCACTATTTACATTTTGGCACTGGGCAATTCTTATTTTGGGGAGCTACCCTGTGCATTGTGTCGTATTTGGCAGCATCCCTGGCCTCTGCCCACTAGATCTAGTAACACCCATGCCTCCCTCTGTGACAACCAAAAATATCTCCAGCTGTTGTCAAATGTCCCTTGGGGTGGGGGAGAGCAAAACTGTCCCCAGTTGAGAACTATTTGGTTAGAATATAAAATATTTCTTTTTGCTATTTTTTTTTAACCACATCTATATAGATAGAGAGGGCTTCCCTCATAACTCAGTTGGTAAATAATCTGCCTGCAATGCAGGAGACCCCAGTTGGATTCCTGGGTCGGGAAGATCTGCTGGAGAAGAGATAGTCTACCCACTTCAGTATTCTTGGGCTTCCCTTGTGGCTCAGCTGATAAAGAAGCAATTCTACAAGGTAAACACCAGTTAACATACAGTGCTAGTATTTTAATTCCATTGATATTATTGTCTATTTCTCATTAGTCTCCAACATCACTACTCCTAGGCTCTTATATGCTTTTGATAATGTATAAGTTGTTTTACAATATAAGATTACTGCCCAAATATAAACAAAGGTTATAGGTTTAAAAGTATATGAATTTTGAATACTTCTTAATATTACCAAGGTTTTTAATTGGCATTAAGCTGAAAGTCAGATCAAATGAATAGACTGAACCTAGCATGGCACATATAAGACCATATTCAAGAACCAAAGTGATAGTATCCTCTTCATTAGATAGTAAAATCCTCTATTTCACACTGGGAGAGAAGGCACCAGATCTGAGGTTCCAGCAGGGTTTCTCAGCCTTAGCACTATTTACATTTTGGCACTGGGCAATTCTTATTTTGGGGAGCTACCCTGTGCATTGTGTCGTATTTGGCAGCATCCCTGGCCTCTGCCCACTAGATCTAGTAACACCCATGCCTCCCTCTGTGACAACCAAAAATATCTCCAGCTGTTGTCAAATGTCTCTAGGGTGGGGGAGAGCAAAACTGTCCCCAGTTGAGAACTATTTGGTTAGAATATAAAATATTTCTTTTTGCTATTTTTTTTTAACCACATCTATATAGATAGAGAGGGCTTCCCTCATAACTCAGTTGGTAAATAATCTGCCTGCAATGCAGGAGACTCCAGTTGGATTCCTGGGTCAGGAAGATCTGCTGGAGAAGAGATAGTCTACCCACTTCAGTATTCTTGGGCTTCCCTTGTGGCTCAGCTGATAAAGAAGCAATTCTACAAGGTAAACACCAGTTAACATACAGTGCTAGTATTTTAATTCCATTGATATTATTGTCTATTTCTCATTAGTCTCCAACATCACTACTCCTAGGCTCTTATATGCTTTTGATAATGTATAAGTTGTTTTACAATATAAGATTACTGCCCAAATATAAACAAAGGTTATAGGTTTAAAAGTATATGAATTTTGAATACTTCTTAATATTACCAAGGTTTTTAATTGGCATTAAGCTGAAAGTCAGATCAAATGAATAGACTGAACCTAGCATGGCACATATAAGACCATATTCAAGAACCAAAGTGATAGTATCCTCTTCATTAGATAGTAAAATCCTCTATTTCACACTGGGAGAGAAGGCACCAGACCTGAGGTTCCAGCAGGGTTTCTCAGCCTTAGCACTATTTACATTTTGGCACTGGGCAATTCTTATTTTGGGGAGCTACCCTGTGCATTGTGTCGTATTTGGCAGCATCCCTGGCCTCTGCCCACTAGATCTAGTAACACCCATGCCTCCCTCTGTGACAACCAAAAATATCTCCAGCTGTTGTCAAATGTCTCTAGGGTGGGGGAGAGCAAAACTGTCCCCAGTTGAGAACTATTTGGTTAGAATATAAAATATTTCTTTTTGCTATTTTTTTTTAACCACATCTATATAGATAGAGAGGGCTTCCCTCATAACTCAGTTGGTAAATAATCTGCCTGCAATGCAGGAGACCCCAGTTGGATTCCTGGGTCAGGAAGATCTGCTGGAGAAGAGATAGTCTACCCACTTCAGTATTCTTGGGCTTCCCTTGTGGCTCAGCTGATAAAGAAGCAATTCTACAAGGTAAACACCAGTTAACATACAGTGCTAGTATTTTAATTCCATTGATATTATTGTCTATTTCTCATTAGTCTCCAACATCACTACTCCTAGGCTCTTATATGCTTTTGATAATGTATAAGTTGTTTTACAATATAAGATTACTGCCCAAATATAAACAAAGGTTATAGGTTTAAAAGTATATGAATTTTGAATACTTCTTAATATTACCAAGGTTTTTAATTGGCATTAAGCTGAAAGTCAGATCAAATGAATAGACTGAACCTAGCATGGCACATATAAGACCATATTCAAGAACCAAAGTGATAGTATCCTCTTCATTAGATAGTAAAATCCTCTATTTCACACTGGGAGAGAAGGCACCAGACCTGAGGTTCCAGCAGGGTTTCTCAGCCTTAGCACTATTTACATTTTGGCACTGGGCAATTCTTATTTTGGGGAGCTACCCTGTGCATTGTGTCGTATTTGGCAGCATCCCTGGCCTCTGCCCACTAGATCTAGTAACACCCATGCCTCCCTCTGTGACAACCAAAAATATCTCCAGCTGTTGTCAAATGTCTCTAGGGTGGGGGAGAGCAAAACTGTCCCCAGTTGAGAACTATTTGGTTAGAATATAAAATATTTCTTTTTGCTATTTTTTTTTAACCACATCTATATAGATAGAGAGGGCTTCCCTCATAACTCAGTTGGTAAATAATCTGCCTGCAATGCAGGAGACCCCAGTTGGATTCCTGGGTCAGGAAGATCTGCTGGAGAAGAGATAGTCTACCCACTTCAGTATTCTTGGGCTTCCCTTGTGGCTCAGCTGATAAAGAAGCAATTCTACAAGGTAAACACCAGTTAACATACAGTGCTAGTATTTTAATTCCATTGATATTATTGTCTATTTCTCATTAGTCTCCAACATCACTACTCCTAGGCTCTTATATGCTTTTGATAATGTATAAGTTGTTTTACAATATAAGATTACTGCCCAAATATAAACAAAGGTTATAGGTTTAAAAGTATATGAATTTTGAATACTTCTTAATATTACCAAGGTTTTTAATTGGCATTAAGCTGAAAGTCAGATCAAATGAATAGACTGAACCTAGCATGGCACATATAAGACCATATTCAAGAACCAAAGTGATAGTATCCTCTTCATTAGATAGTAAAATCCTCTATTTCACACTGGGAGAGAAGGCACCAGATCTGAGGTTCCAGCAGGGTTTCTCAGCCTTAGCACTATTTACATTTTGGCACTGGGCAATTCTTATTTTGGGGAGCTACCCTGTGCATTGTGTCGTATTTGGCAGCATCCCTGGCCTCTGCCCACTAGATCTAGTAACACCCATGCCTCCCTCTGTGACAACCAAAAATATCTCCAGCTGTTGTCAAATGTCTCTAGGGTGGGGGAGAGCAAAACTGTCCCCAGTTGAGAACTATTTGGTTAGAATATAAAATATTTCTTTTTGCTATTTTTTTTTAACCACATCTATATAGATAGAGAGGGCTTCCCTCATAACTCAGTTGGTAAATAATCTGCCTGCAATGCAGGAGACCCCAGTTGGATTCCTGGGTCAGGAAGATCTGCTGGAGAAGAGATAGTCTACCCACTTCAGTATTCTTGGGCTTCCCTTGTGGCTCAGCTGATAAAGAAGCAATTCTACAAGGTAAACACCAGTTAACATACAGTGCTAGTATTTTAATTCCATTGATATTATTGTCTATTTCTCATTAGTCTCCAACATCACTACTCCTAGGCTCTTATATGCTTTTGATAATGTATAAGTTGTTTTACAATATAAGATTACTGCCCAAATATAAACAAAGGTTATAGGTTTAAAAGTATATGAATTTTGAATACTTCTTAATATTACCAAGGTTTTTAATTGGCATTAAGCTGAAAGTCAGATCAAATGAATAGACTGAACCTAGCATGGCACATATAAGACCATATTCAAGAACCAAAGTGATAGTATCCTCTTCATTAGATAGTAAAATCCTCTATTTCACACTGGGAGAGAAGGCACCAGATCTGAGGTTCCAGCAGGGTTTCTCAGCCTTAGCACTATTTACATTTTGGCACTGGGCAATTCTTATTTTGGGGAGCTACCCTGTGCATTGTGTCGTATTTGGCAGCATCCCTGGCCTCTGCCCACTAGA